GAGCTGAAAATTATATGTATATGTATTTTTTTTAATGAAAAATACAGGGGTTTAGAGGTTGGTTCATAAACTGTATTTTAGACATATTATTATGGTGATACCATGGTGAACCCAAAAACATGAGGTTGCCYGTAGCAAGGCACTTTGGTGCAACTTGGCTGGCTATATGGTCGATAGAAAGAGTTAAATGCCAACAAATTTCTGAGATGCCTAGAGCTATCCAATAAGCAACTGACAGCTGCAGAGTCCTCAGTATCTTAGAATGGAAAACCATGAGTGAATTATGTATCGGGTAATTACTTTGTATATAACTGATGATTGGACTATGCTTCAGAAACTGTATTTGTAAGACCATAAACACACAATTAAAAAACCCTGATCATTAAAAGCTGCTATCAGTAGAAAAAAAAAAACATTCGGTACTGAATTTTTAAAATTTGTGTGTTTTTTTTTAATAAGGAATTAAGAAGTAGGAGTAACAAATCAGGAAGAAATCGAGAGTTTCTGTCCTTACATTATCCTTTTGTCTCTCACATGAAGACCCAAAGAGCTTTCTCCATGTATCTGAACAGGAGAACAGATTGTACAGGAGAAATATATGAAGAAGGGCCTTTAATTGTCAGCCAGAGGCTTGGAAAGCAGATTTTGGTCTGTTAATAACTGAGTTCTTTGAAATAATTTCAGCCTTTTCTACTTCATAAAATCATATCAAGTATTGAAAATCAGAGGATAATATAGAAAACAACAAAATCTTTTTAGATATAAAAGTAAGTATATGAGCATTATGTTTCTACTTAGTCTGTAAATTGATACAAGCCTGCAATATAGCTTGTAGCAGTGAAAAATAAATGCGTTTAGACATATTTTATGTCTTTTTTTTTTTTTTTTTTAAATTCCCGATCTACAGATGAGGATATAGGAACAGAGGGATTACAAACAAAGCTGGGGACAGAGGATAAGTCTCCTGATTTGCAGCTCTATTCCTCCACAAGTGTTCCATTACCTGTGGAAACTGTGACCTGAGTGTCTTCCCATGTGGAGATGAAAAAGGGGACATATGTTACATATGAACCAACTTACCTCAAATATTGCAGGATTTGAAAACAGGGTGTTTTTTTGGGGCATTTGCTAGTATAAAAAAAAAAATAGCCTGAAATTGGTTTTGAGCATCTTACTGTGTGCTTTAAACAAAGCCCTCCTGCTACTAATAAGGGCATTTGACAGTGTCCTGGAAGAGATGAGTAATATTCTTAATGTTATGGTAGAAAATCAGATGAACTTAGGCAAAGGCAGATAAAACTTCTTTCAAACAGCACGGATGATCTTTCTGTCTGCAATATTTACATCCAGAATACAAAATGAAACAAAAGGTCTGGGAAGATAAGAAAGGTGGCTGTTGTAAAGTTGTATATTGTAGAAATATTCTGTTTTAGAATAGCCTTTCTAACATAATTTCCTTTCTTTATCCCACTCTAGGTTATCCTGAGATAGATTCTCCAATTTTAGAATTACGCATTACTAGAATGGAGAAAAAGGTGACACTGGGATTCCCCAATAACTAGTAATTAACCATGCCTGTAGTAGGTGTTCCCACTCTAAGTGAAATTATGGGAATCTTGCCCATACCAGTTAACATACTGAGATATTTTCTCACATATGCTAGTCTGTGGTCTGTGTGTAAATGTGTCCATAGCATTGGGCAGTTTGGGAACATTTGATGGACAGGAACTCTGCACGTCCAATGTCCTGAATCCTTCCTCTTCATTTCCAGCAGGTCTCAGCATCCTGATTGCAAACAAGGGAAATCTGGCACACAGAGGGCTGGAAACTTGCCTCTATGGGATGCTGGTTATCTTTTCCCACCTCTCTTTCCTTCTGTCTTATCTCAGGCTCTACGAGTTATTTGCTYTTTCAGATATGTTTCACTCCTTAAAATTAGGATCCAAATGGCTTAAYTAGACAGAGAGCCCTGAATAAGGAATTTTTAAGGTTGACCTACATGGAGAGTGATCTAGCCTTCTGAGCATCCTGAGATTGTTCTCAGAATGTTTTATAATTCAATAGGATGATGCCAGTTCAGCTGATTAAGCAAAGTAAGATATCAGAATCTCTGGGGATGTCCAGTTCTTACATACTGTAAGTTATACCTCAATATTTCTAATACGCTATGTATGTAAGTAGTTGAAAAGAAAAGAGCAAATATGGGGTACTGCAATGACAATTTATGGAGAATTTAAAATGAATTCTTTTGGTCTAGGACATCTATCTCTCAAGTAAAAGATGAAATAAAACAAAATTAGGAGAATGGGCAGTGCTTACCTCCCCCAGAGCTTAGTATCTTGGACAGTTCTCCTGACCTGGCTATGATAGTACAATTTAGACCCAGAAAAAAACCTCTAAACTGACTTTACAGCTCTGAGTCTTTAAGGAGCTTCATCATGATGTCTTCTATATATTGTATTGTACATTTGGACCTGCATACTTTTCCTGTGGCTTCTGCAGTTGGTTTTAAAATACTCTTCTTCCACAAAGATCTTTAGTGTAGTGCAGGAAATAAATTGCACMGCACCCTGCAGACATAAAGGAAAAGCTGCCACGATCAGCCTCTGTCTCTCCTCTCCTCATGTGGTGCTATCCTAACTATTCGGGTGCACTTGCAGGTAGCATGGGGAGCATCAGAGTCAGTGAATCGAAACGGTGAGGGAAAATACTGAGAAAAGAAAATTGAATGTGGTTATTGCTAGGAYTGGTTTAAGGATTTTCAGTAGGTTACGTGATGACCCTACCTTATTCAAGCTTTGCCTTCATCAAAATACTTGCAGTTTGAACATGACTAATGTTCTCTATAAGACACTTGATTCCACAGCTTACTCTGTAAGGAGGTAGTTGCATTCTGAAAAGGTATATTGTACCAGCRGGTATAAAACAGGAGCAAGAAGTCATAGCTTACCTGGCACTGCACAGCTACCCTCTCCAGTGCTGCACTTACCTGGGTAGGTTCACGCCATGGCAAATCTGGCTAATCTTCTTGTTTCTTCTTCATCATTTTCACAGAGAACCAAGATTGCTCCCAAAGGAGGAAAATTTATGGCAAACTGCCTTTCAGTCTCATTTTCAGCTTCAGTAATAAAATTTGCCCTGCAGCATTCTTTCTATGTGGGGGAAATATGGATAGAGTAGAAGCCTCAAAGAAGGAAAACAACATTTCTCAAGAACTGTAGTACCTCCAAGTTTCTTCTTAAGCAGAGGTTTTAGAACAAAAAAGATAATTTTATATTAAAATTCAGGAAAGGTCTTCTGAACTTTAATAAAAAGGCATTAGCTTACAGTTTTAGAATTCTGCTACATGTTCCATCTCACTTCCCTTCTGCGCAAACGTGCAATAAAATGCTTTTTCTGTATTTTCCTGGAAGAGAACGAGTTACTGATTACTGGTGCCGATAAGAAGATCTAGCAGGTCACTGTGAGATTTATAAAGCTTAAGCTTTACAAATTCCTTCTTGAGACAAGCGGATTAACCCGAAGAAATGGAGCCAAACAGCCTCAGCTGAGACTGCAGCAACAAGGCTGAGCGTGGCTGTGCAGGGCAGGTGTAATTAGAAAATAAGGCAGTTTCCTTTATACCATTCCTAATCCCCTCACTTACTGTGAATATAGACGATAAACTCAGAATTATGAATGTCTGTGATAAGTTTGACATAATTCATTTAAAGAAATCAAGTAAAAACAACACAAAATTGGAACCCTAACAATGTGCTGTTTTGTTGCAAATATTTGACCTTGRCACATCAGATTTGTGATGATTGTAAGTCCACCAAATTCTTGCGTGGGGGCATCAGTAGTTAAATACTTCAAATGGGACTCTTCTTTCAAATGGAGTAACTGCTTGCAGTTTCATGCCTCTTGCTTGGTAAGTCCTGCACACCAGCTCTGCAGGGCAAGCAATGAAAAGAGCTATTAAATATTGCACAAGCTCTATCAGTGTCCAAGACAAATTCACTTGTAGTTCTCCTCTGCCCTTCTGTATGTGTCCAGCTGCTCACACAGAGCAGAATGGAGAAGACCTTCATGATGCTTCTGAGATAGCCACTGGCTGGACAGCAGAGCCCTAAGGCTGCTCCATGCCACCACTCTGCATTTCAGCTGCAATCAGTGACAAGGCCTTCTTGAGCCAAATTAATCTCACCAATTAATTTTAGTTGTGTTTGGCCATTTGGGCCAAATTGCTTGGCCTTGTTCCTTCCTTGCTTATTGGTGTGTCCTGGGAGTTTTTGGGTATGTGTTGTGTACTTTTCCTAAGGAGGACCTGCAAAATAAGGTCTGAAACTTGGTGATACAGGGAAGAAGACAGGAGTAACTTTTTGAAACACTTCATGTGGAGATGTGAAGAGAGAGCAAACTGCAGGTAGGTTGGAGAATGGTCAGAAATTAGAGTTAAAATGAATAGAATATGTATTCAATGTGTCTAATGGGAAAAGATGTTACACAGGGGCGCTGTTTACTATTTGTGTGGGATTATGAAAGTAAATTTGATGGAATATTAGTAAATATTGCATAGGAAACAAGAAGTTTGGCTTTTTTTGAGGAATACTGAAGTAKGGTATAAAGTTTGAGGGCCCTTTCTGTTTTGAAATTTTGCTTGGAAATCATGAATTCAAAACATATGAAATGAAGGGAAACTTCCCTGCCAGATTTTACAGAGACTTTTATTGAGATCTCAATTAATTATTTATGCAGAGTACAGTCATGAAACAGAGAGCAGGTTGTCTAAACAGTGGTGATTAAAGGAAAGTTAAGAATTTATGAAGAATTAATTAATATTMAGAATCATCTTGCATCCTGACCAATGTTAAGTATTGTATAGGAAGCAAATGTTCTGTTGAGGAAAAAAAAAAAAAGTTAAAGATTAATTTAACTAAGATATAGCTGTGTGGGTTTTTTTTTTCAAAAAAAAAAAAAAAAAAATAGCTGGCACTTTAGCTCTTCAGAGCATCTTGGTTTCAAGCCTTTTTCTTCTGAGCAGTCACTTCATCCAAGCTTTTGGCGAGCTTAAGGTAAGATAGGAAGAGCAGTACAACTTTCCTGGGAAAGAAACTGAGGAGATAAACACAGTTAGCTTCATGTTATTGTTATTTTTAAGAACAATGAACTCCACCAACTGAAGAAATGATAAATTTATAGAAGGTGCATAATGCCAGTTTCTGGCAATAGTGCATTCAAATAGCACATATTCTGACTGCACTATCCCATAAACATTCTTGAAATTATGCTGTATCCCAATATAGACTGAGAAAGGCATTAAAAATGAAAATTACCCAATTTATTTGACACCTAAATTATTAAGAATTAAAAGCACTGATTCTTCATAATTCAGAATGCACCATGAATGAACCTTCTACTAAACTTTCCTATTGCTTTTGCAAGCTTGTGACAAAAGAAAGAAATGATAGGAGACAGGAGTAACATTCTTACTATTTGAAAGCAATTGTGAGAAGCGTTGGAGGCATAAATAGATAAAACTTCTCCTTTTGAACTGCATCCACAATCCTGCTAGCTACATAATCTGCTTCATAGACAGGAAGAAAAAGTTGGTTGCTGGTGAAACAAGAAACAAAGAATCATGTAATTATACAATTTTACTTTTGAGATGTAAAAAAAAAAGAAAAAAAAATCATATAAGTTTCCTTCCTTCTCCTCAAGGAGTTTTCAAAGTAAGTCTCCAATTTTATTTGTTCCTTCTATCACCAAAATAAAATGAAAGAATTTTACTCATGTGAGCTTTAACAGCTAATGAATAACTTCTGAATCTTGTTTGAAAGGTTGCTCTGCAGTCTCCAGTGCATTTTAGTTATCAACCATATACAGTGTTTTGATTTCTTATGTCAAGGGAGGTAGCTGTGTTCACCAACAGGGCAAAAAGTGTGGAATTAAGCAAATCAGGCTTATATTAATTAGCGACTGAATATGTAATATCTAAAGACTAGACTTTTTTTTTTACAGATATAATACTATTGCTATATAGAATCTAAGTTTTTACTTACTAGCTTTGAATACCTCTGACTAAATCAGTATTTACAAAAGAAGGGCAGACGATTGTGGTTTTAATGCCGTCTTTTCCTGCCCGATAAAGTTCATCATCTATAGATTCCATCATTCCAACAATTGCAAATTTGCTTGCAGAATAATCTGTAAAGTGGAGAAAGAAGAAATATCTAAAAMATCTCGAAAGCCTCATAATCTGTTATATGTAAAATATGAACTTTTACAGGAGTATTTGAGTTGTAATATTAATTAGCTATGATTCCTAGTAGCCTTGGCAGACTATAGAGACATATAAGATAAAGATCTTATTTKACATTTTATATATATATTGCCAGATGTTCTATACAAACCAGGGATTCTCTCAGTTCAGAATAATTGCCATCTTTAATATCACAGCTGATCCTTCAGTAGGATATATTTCTAGTGGAAAAGTCTAAATGAAGTATATGCTGCTTCAATCCATTACTATCTTTTCTTCTGTTCTGCTTTGCAACTGCAGTATCGTTTTGCTTGCATGGGGATACTGAATACTGTTTTGTTTGTATTGTTTGATTCCAGATGTGAGACCTCAGCTGGAGCACTATGTCCAGTTTTGGACTCTACAGTGCATAGAAAATATTGGCATCCTGGAGCGCATCTAGTGGGGAGCCATCCAGGTGAGCATGTGAAATCTCTGCCCTTGAAAATAACCAAAATTTGACTGCACGTGGCCCAAGCAACCTGGTCTAGATTGGACCCACTTTTGCTGGAAGTTTGGGCCGAGTGATATTTCTGCACATATTTCTTTCAAACTAAGTAGTTATTTTATGATTGCACAGCTGTAAGAGCCTTATTTAAGTGTTGGTATTTATATGTAACTCACTAAGTTATTTTTAGTATGACTGAAAATAGATACAACTAAATTCACTTCTGCTAGAAGAGTAACTTTAAAAATTGTGTCAGAAACAGTCTTTTAATCTTGGAAATATACCTATACTGGATGTTGAAACCATACAACCAGAAAATGCTTGCTAGTTTGTAAAAAGTCTGAATGCTTGGGCTGGCAGGTTTACTCTCATATGCATTTGTGATTAAATAATGAAAGCTGAACAYGACCTGTAATGGGTATAGAATCTAACATGATAATAACAGATGGAAAACAAAAAAATGATAACATAGYCAATCATTAGAAGAAACAAAATACACTTATTCTATCAAAATTAACATTCTCTCAAGAGAACTTGAGAGATATGACCAAAATGTCAGATAGGCTGAAGGGACACTGGGTAGCAAACACGAAATAACCAGGACCATAGCGGTCAACTCTCCTGAGAAAAACAGCTGAAGATAAGGAATGGGCAAATAGTTTAAAATGCAATTAATCTGAACTAAATTTTATGAAAAACCTTACAAAATACCTCCTAAGCCCGAAAGCTATGTCCAAAGAAGTTCAAAAATCCATGTATAACCCAAATATGTTTCAGGAGTCTGAGCAATAAATCACAGAAAAAAGGAAAAAGTGTTAGACAACCTGTACATGGGCTCCCTTATGTGTAAGAACATATATTGATGTGTAAGAACATATATTGCCCCTCTCCCATGGGGATATGACAGGCTGCAGAGAAACCAGTAAAATCTACACTGAGCTCTCTGTGTAACATGGGCAAGGTATCACCATCCTCTTCTTCAATACTCTGTATCTGCCACCTTCTGTCTCTACAGGCTCCTTCTGCTTGCTCAATATGTTGGTGTAAACTGCTTAAGCGAGGCATTTCTGAAATCTCCAGGAAAAATTATTAACACGTGCCTCTGGTTCATAACAGCCCTTGATGATACTCACCTGATGTTTTGTAGGAGCCGAAAAGTGCTGTTGCACTTGACATATTAATCAGGTGTCCATGATTGCAGGCAATCATGGCTGGGAGGAAGGCTTTGCAAGTCTGAAACACATAATAAAATGACAATATCTTAAAAAATGTTGCATTCAAAATTAGATTTTAAAACCTGAGTTACTTTCTAGACCCTCACTACACAAGAAGCCAACAAACTGATTGTCCACTGTGGTAGGAATTTTTAATCTAGAGACAGCATTTCTTAGAACCACAATCCTGAGTCTGGAGATTTGTCGGCACTAACATCCAGCTCCATAGAGCTCTGATACAGAAGAGGGAGCCAGAAGCCAACACATGGAGGGGATTTCAGTGGCAACAGGCCCTAGTTGTTGCAAACCTCACTGACTGGCAGCTGTGGGCTCTTCAACCACTGCTGCCCCCGATGCTAATTATATAGGGAACATGCTGGCATTTCATAAGTAGGAAGAGAAGAAAAAGAAAGCACAGTTAGAAAGCGTTTTTCAATAGCTGAGAAGTGCTGTCATGCCTGTTTTCCTCTGGATGTGTGTGCCTAGGCTCCTTTGCCATAAAGATCCAAGGATTTGGAACAACTTTCAGCTGAAACGGTTCCCTCTTGGTAATAATTTTCAGCCRGAGGGGTCACTCCAAGGGAGCTGCAATGCTGCATTTCCCTCTGACCCAGGCTGCTCGCTTAGCGGGGAGAGTGATCCTTGCTCACAAGGAAACCTCCTAATAGCAACTGAGTCCCCCAGTAACAGAGAATCTCTTCAGGTAATATGTCCTGCGTGGTATAAATGGTATAGCAGCGTGGTATAAATGGTATAGCAAAGATAGTATATACTAGTTAGACTAACTAGTTAGTCTAACTAACTAGTCTAGACTAACTCTATTCTCTGCTTACATCAAGGAGATACTGGTTAGACATGCAAGCACAAGGCAAACTCTCAACTCCAATTGAGGAGAAGGCAGCAGGGCAAAAGGCACCACGGATAACCTGAAGGCTGGCACCAGTATATGCAGCATGTTTGTGACTCCCGGAATATCAGACAAGGCATCCTGATGCCAGGGGACACCTGGAGCAGGAGAGGTCCGTGCCGTTACCTCAGCACTGATTTCAGCCGTGGCTGTTCCYGTGAGAAAGAGGCTGCTTCCTGATACAGTTAGACAAGGATACAGGATTTATCAGAGTGCCCGGGCAGAGTGTTGTTAACAGTGCTGAGAAGTGCCAGGCAGGATGACTTAAAAAAAAAACCTTTTTTTTTTTCCCTCCTCTCTGTGTCCCTCCCACCCTGCTTCAAAGCTGGGTCTAACCTGGGGTACTATTTTAAGGATTTTCTCATTAAAATAGTTGCCTGTAYATCTCGCATATATGCAGGAAAGAGGAAAAAAAAAATACATTACCCAGGCTTGACTCAGGAAGTTAACTCTTATGGTCTTTTCAAATTCGGCTCCCGACATGTCCAAGAAGGTTTTCCCAGTAAATATACCCGCATTATTTACCAGGATGCTAACATCCCCAACTTCCTTTCTAACCTGGGTAAGAAAAGGATAAACAGAAAGGATTAGAAGGCATTCTACAAGTGCAAGAGGAAGCTCTTGTTCTTCACTTAGGAAATGTTTAATGATATGATATACATTTTCACAAACATTTTTGATTATTTACATCTATGCTGAAAACATAAGTGTAAAAGACATGTTTTACTGTGTCACATTAAAGGTCCATCAGGCTCCAGAACTCTCCTATCAGGGCAGAGGGCAGTAAAAAAGACAGGGACACTGACACTTACACCTCTAGTGTAATCCTTGTCTTTTCACATGCTGCAGTTTAGGAACTTCCTGAGCCAGACATTGTATGTACGACTTYGTGTTTAATACATTGTGATGATTATTATTTTTTTCTCCAAGAATGTCTTGGTTCTGAATTCTAGAATACTTCAGATTTTYGTAACAACCCATGGTAATGAATTGCAAAGTGGAAGTGCACATTGTGATCCTGCTTTAACTTTGTCACCTGAACATTTCTTGTCGCYTAAGTAGTTCTTCCATAGTGGGAAATGATATTTGTTCCTTAGTTATCATCTCCATCATACTTGGGATCTCATCTATCTGTACCACAGCCTGTTTCAGGTGCCTCTCTTTTGAGTAAGAAGGTCCTGATCTATCCAATCTCTATATGGAGGCTTTTCATATTTCCGTTTTTTTTTTTTTTTTTTTTATTTCCTGTAATGCTTCCAGTTCTTTCCTTTATTGTTATTTTTATGATAGCAGAATTTTCTTCTGTACTGGTGATCTGAATATACTGTGGAGAATTAGACCAGAAGTGCAGAAGTTTTTTGGGGCTTAGTTCTCGAATCCTTTTCTAATAGTTTGTAATGCCTTTTTGAACATTATTGAATAAATTGAATTTTCATTGAAATAATTGAAGTGCCTCTAAGATATCAATTTCTACCAATTTAGAGGTAGTCATGATATAGGTATAGTTTAGATTACTTCTTTTTTTTCTTTGTAATTTAAACTGATTTTAATATATAAACTTTTTTTTTTAAATTATTGTTTAGTGCAATGCAAGTGGTTTCAGGCAACACTCTTGCAACTTTAACTTTACAGCACTAAAACTACTTTTTTACTGCCTGCAAACTCTGCTAAATTCCTGTTCTCCCTTCTCCCAGACCATTTAGGAATATGTAGAACAGGAAAAGATCCAGTATAGTTCCTTGGGTGATTCAAGTGCTTTGGGTACAGATGCATTTACCATGATATGCACAGATGATATCACTCGGAGAAAAAGGTAAAATCACCATTAGCTTTGCCTGGGTTTGTTRTGGAGAGGTTCTGTTCTATGCTTTAGCTTTGATTAAAGCACATGGCTGAGRTTTATTTTCAGCACTAGAAATCAGGGCCAGTGCAGAGATTTCTGCATTGGAGGCAAGTAGTTACTTGGTGTCTCATAGATTGTAGAATGGCTTCAAAAAGCATAAGAAAACCCCAGTCTGGCAGAGTGAATAAATGGGTGATTGGCTGTGGTGTCCCATCATTTGACCTCACTTTGGCTTTCTCAGGCAATTGGTAAAGACTGTTTAGATGTTTCTGCAGCTGCATTGCACAGTCCATAGGCAAGTGGAGCTCAGATCCCAGCACCTCTCCATCTTGCATAAATGAATGAAGATCTAGACACTGCTGGGGCTGGCAGGAATACCCAGCTCTTCCTTTGGGGAAGACATCCATAATCTCTCGTAGCTTGCACTCTTTACCTGCTTGCTGGATCCTTATGATGATCTTCCCTTTCCCTTTCTTTATAGGACAACTTAGATTACCGGTCAGCAGCATTTTACTCCATTCACTCTCATTCGTGCTTTTTATTCCCTGCCACAGAAAACTGTGGGAAGGATAATTCCAGGCTGGTTGTTCTCCATTATGTGTTTCCCCACATGTCTATTAATTCTTTTCTTTATTAGAGTTTAAGACACTCTTTTCTATGAGAGGTTTGTAGTTTCTTGCTGTCCTCTCAAGCGCTTTTAAAAATTGGATTATTTGCTATTTGTTTCTCGGACACGATAACCTGCTACATCAATAGGTCACCTATGCATTTTATAGTTCGTTGRTTCCTTTAGCATTCCTGAGTAAACTCTCTTTGGTTCTGAAAGTCTGTTATGTTTTGCTTCATCAGTTTGTTCTAAAATCTCTTCCCTAGGCACTTCAGTGCTCTGATTTCTTTCCTAGAAAGCAAACTTCCATAATAATCAATGGCCTTCTCTGCTATTGCTTTATCTTCTGTGTTGAAGCTCAAGTCTTTTCCAATGGAAAAGTTAGACATATTTCCAAGAGCACAGGAAGACTCCTCACTCAGGSGTTCACACACGGAAGACGTTGGTATTAGTAATATTAGTAATATACCACCTCATTGGCATGAAACAACTCTTCAAGTTTTGGCTTGTAGGCCAGTCTATAATTCAGAATACTCTCTGCTAATAAGGGCAAAGCAAATTCTGGGGGCTGGAGACTTCAATGCTCCTTTTTAGGCTGAATCAGTTAGTCTGTTTAGAGATTGAGAATGACTTGAATGYACAACAGAAATTTTTTGAGATTCTGTTAAACTAGGAGAAAACAAATTATTTCTAGACGTTCAACATAAACAGAAGAGTCTAACAGAGAATTTACATAGTTGAGTTTAAAATAATAATTTTGGTACATGCTTTTCCAAGAAGTAAATAACTTTACAAGAATATGGAGATGGTACCAATTTATTTATTTAGTAAGAGGTCTGATCTTGATAAATTCTGAAGTAATTTTGTCTTGCAAGAGGATTCCAGAAGGTATGCCACTTGATTTATAGTGTCATTCCAAGTAAAGACTGTGTCACATTTGGAGTACAGGTCAGATTTCATTTTTTTTTTTTATTTGTCTGGGAAATAGTAACTGATGTTAAGAAAGTTGAAATTACTGGGAGTCATTTCACAAGCTAAATTAAAAGGAGTAGTAGCCAGTGACTTACACTGTGAAGATCTGTATATGATCTGTACTAGCCAAAAAATATGTTAAATATTGTCCTCCTTGGGGACTGCATTTTGGGTCAGCACAGGCCAGAATGGTGAGAAACTTACAGCTTGTCTCTGCTCACGTAAAACTCATGCTATAATGTATGTATCCTTGCCTGCATGCTCCAACTAATGCATTGTGGTTCTTAAAGTCTATCACCAGKGGTCCCAAAAGGTAAATTTTCCCACTTATTTCAGTCTGCTAGGTCCCTAATACTGCTAAGAAGTAAAATATTACCTTGTTGATTGCAACCATGAGAACTGCAATCCTAAGCTCTTGCAGATATTGAGTCTAATCTACTCTTTAGAGGTACTTCCAATCAGGACCCGTTCTCAATAGAATATTTTATTTTAAACTTTTCTATCTATGTTCAGAAGGAATGAATCTGTTTTAGTTAAATATATAAGCAACAATCACAAAATAAGGGGCACACCTGACAACTCATAAAAAAATGAACTTATTTTTCAGGTSATTTTAAAGGAATCTCTTGAAATTTGTGAGTGATGAGACATTTCAGGTGACYGATATATGCATTCAGGCAAAGAATGTCAAAGATATGACTTGTGAAAGATGCACATCCATACATATACTAATAATTAAACAAATGAATTTATCCTGCAGAATGGGACAGAATGGGAGAATGAGTAACTATAAATAATATGTGAGGTTACCCTCATAGATATTCTCAGACAGTACACTCACTGTTTAAAGACACGTAAATACTGGTAACACAGTCCAGAGGCATGGAACTCTGACTTCTATCATCATAGAARAGAAATATAATAGTTTACAAAACATAGGTTAGCACAGGAAGAGAATCATTTAAATTGTAGTTCTTTTCTGCTTTGTCTTCCAGATGGATTGACCAAAAAATAGAATGAAGTTGCGTCATCATGAAGTTTGGCTCCTGGTCAGATTTCTGAAACCTTAATACCCCACATCACTCTTATGGAATTACAAATATCTAAATAAAGACATAAGAAAAGGGAACTACCCTCTCAACAATTGCCATGGATTTTTGTTGTTGTTCTTGTTGTTATTACATGCCAAAAAGAGAAAAAATGTCCTCAGTTGAATAGTATGGTTACAAAAATTTCATCAGGCTAGATTATAAAGAAGACAAAAATTCAATAGGATAGACTATTATAAGCAAAGAAAAATCAGAAACAAGAAGCCATCTCTTACCTTTTCTGCCTKTTCATAGACCTCTTCTCTTTTGCTGCAGTCACACTTGTAGGCAAACACTCCTTTGGCGCCTTTCTCTTGGGCTAACACACTTGTCTCTTTGTTGCCTTCTTCATCAATGTCCCACAGAACCAAGGTTGTTCCCAGAGAGGCAAACTTTAAGGCAATCTGCCTTCCAATCCCCTTTGCAGAACCAGTAACAAGAACTATTTCCCCAGCAAGACTTTTTTTGCATGGAGTACGTATGAATGACATGAAAGTCTCAAAGAACACAGTAATTAAAAATTTGAGGAACTGGGGTATCTTCAGGATACTTCTGAAGCTGATCATGATTTTTCAGGCACAGAGACTAAGTATAAAAACCCAGAAATACAATATTTTACTGGAACAGAAAACACTAAGAGATTGACTAAGAGATTTTTAAAGATTTTTACTTTTAAAAAGCTAATTTGCTTACATCTCTCTTCTGCACAAATACAAMATATAACTGGAGACTTATTCTGTGAAAGCTTCAAGTTTCCTATTAGTAGGATTAAAGAACATAGCTTCTACTAGATGCTACATGGCTGTTATTTCAGTTCTCAGCTTTTGTCAAAGTTTATAAAACATGTTCTATTCATGTATGTTGCACTGCTTATAGAGCACCTTATTTTTAAAGCAAAATGATATTAGGTGAGCAGAAAAGTACTGAAAGCACTGGGGTCCTATCAACCACAGAATGGAAGGTGTCTTAGCAGAAAATGTGCCTTGCAATTTCAGAGCAGGCAATAAAAACCTACTCCCACTGTGTATTTTCCAGTAATACGTGGCTGAAATCACACAGTATGTTTTGATTTTTGAGCACATTAGCAAGTATACAGGAGAGCATGGTGTCATGAGCTTTGAATTCCCTCCTGCCCTTAGACCATGCCATTTCTTTTGCTTTAGCTCATAACAAAAAGGTCTACATTACTGTGAAATTTCAGCAGCATACTGTCAAATCTGGCAAAAACACAAAACTCTTGGATTTTTGTATTTGCATGAGTATCACTCAAAGCCTAACAAGAAGGGAAGCACTAGACAACCTCAACAGTATAATAACTAAAAAATAAAAAATTAAAAGATAAAAAAAACTTTCATAAAAAATCTTTCATAGCATCATTGCTATAATAGCACACCAAAAGTATCCTGGGTCTGGGGATTAGTCCTTCTCTAGCTTAAAAGTTTTGGGCCAAGTTGCTGCTCCCAGGGCTTTGCAGTCCCTGGTTGCACTTTCAGTGGAGTCAAATGAAAAATTCCCACCAGGTAAGGACTAATGAAATTTCTAACCCTCTAGCCCTACTCCCAGGTTGAGATAAGGAGCCACACGCCACTCAAAGCTGACAACAGGGATTAGGCCCCGGTCCTGTCAGACCAAGTAAAGTCTGACAAGTAAAGTCCTGTGGCCAAACCAAGCCATGGTGACAGCACTTCCCACACAAAAACGTGCCCACAGCAGGCACACAACCCTCCACCCACCCTGGCCTCACCACCTACCACCTCTTCAGGAGAGCTCAACTCCAAAGCTGAAGGTTTCCAAAGATGAGGGGCTCAGGCCCGGCTCACTGCCGCAATTCTCCTCTGTGGTGAGTGCAATGCGATGCTGCCTTATGCCACCCTGGTCCTGCATTACTGTCCCTCCCACCTCAGTTCGCCCCAGGCCAGAGGTGACAGCGGCTCTTGGCATCTCTCCGCGTGCTTGAGGAATGTCCTATCCAGGAACTCTGAGAAAAGGTGCTGCCTTTCCTCCCCGTGCTGCTCCTTTATTGCAGYAACAAAATCAAATGCTTGCTATAACACAGAAACACTCTTCTCCAGCTTGCTCCTTTACTGGGATAGGAAGGAAAAGGGAAATATTTATTATCAATGTCTTGCTATAAAACTGTAAAACCATCGATGGGCTTTGTTTCACACCTTTAACACTATAGTTATGGCCATTGTTTTTCCCCATCAGTTTTTACACTTGCATTATCTAACACTTTATAGAATCATAGAATCATAAAGTTTGGAAAAGACCTTTAGAGATCATCTAGTCCAACCCCCTGCACATGCAGGGTCACCTAGAGCATGTTGTAAGGGAACGCAGGGCATGTTGTTCTTTTTGACTACCTGATGTCATGGAAATCAAATACTGCCTCTGGTAAATCATCATAAGGCCTCTAAGTTTTTATAATTAGTGCACATCATACACACATTATTTAATGATGCAGTCCTGCATGMCTGTTGTGTCAGTATTTTCTGTTGTAAGTAGTGGAATATTGAATAAAAGTAATGTTCCTACTCTTTGTACATTCTTAGGCCTATATCTTAGGCCTATTAGGAAATCATGCTTTTCGTCTTAAACTCCAGGTTTCTCATGAGCATTGTGATATCTTCCAGGGATTATTTATCTGAAAGGCAATTAAGGAGAGGGCTATTTGTCTGTTACAGTTAGTGTTTTGAATAAACAATACTTATTGAATAAGCAATACTTAAAAATAACCAAAGTCTTCTCTTGCTCATAGGCAAGCCACGGAAGGAAAGAATTGGAATGGCAGAGACATGGTGTACTTTTGGCCCCATATTTATGTTGTGAGTACCTTTCTGATTTCAAATTACAAATTTGGGGGGATTGTGGAACAGTTTTCCTTTCAGCTGGTAAGAAGCTCAAACACATCTAGCTCATGTAGTTTGATGTAGCTTACACTGTTACATCCTACATACTGTGAAAATGTACTCTGTCRGTGCTAATAGTATTTGTATGGAAGTTATTTACTTACATGTGCAATTAACTGTTGTTTATTTTGTTTAGACTCCAGGAAAGGGTGTTACCATGCTCATTCTGACTGCTGGCAGAGTTCAAAGCCTCAGCCAGCTGTGGCTTCAAACAAGCTGCTGACCAGCAGCGATGCACAAGCTGACAAACAGCAAATGTGCAGCGACTGGGAGAAGGAGCCGTGTTGCAGCTGGTAACTGCAAATGCATCAGATTTCAAGAAAGAGAGGGGAAATGCTTCAGTGATGAATCCCTGGTTACGAGGCGAAGAAGAGATGCCTGTTTGTTAGGATAATGTTTCGAGGTAAACCATGTCCACGAGGAATTCTGTTGTGACTAAGCACCTTGCAAGCTCCCAACAGGATGATCCTGTTTCCAGAGTATATGTTTATGCAAGGTAAGGTTCCTGCTCTTATGCTGACCTGACTCAAGACACTGAAGACACTGTAACCTATCATTCTGAGAGGTTCAAAAGATGAGTAATAGTTTGAACATCTAACTTTGAGAGGCCAGTGTGCTGAGATGGCTGCAGCTCCTGCTAGCTTCGGGTAGAGAGTGGGAGCTGAAAGCAGCCAAGTAGTCTGGGGACAGCCACGCATTTAGCATGGGGTGGCAGTGGCACTCTACCAGCAACATGTGGTGGCTCCTCTGCACATTTTTTTCAGTTGTTTGTAAAACGAGCCTCACTGGGATTTTCGTTTTGTAAAAACGTGGAAATTATGAATTCTATGTGTTTTTTTTTGTTGTCTATGTGTTTTTTTTGTTGTTATTTTAGATGCTGTGTGTGCAGTCATACTTGTATAGACCAGAACTAACTTTTCCTAGAGTAAACGTTAAGTACTTGTATCAAGTGATTTGTACCAAAAACCCATTCCTAAGTCATAGTAAAAACACAATAATTGAACTGTGTTAAACCATTTGACTGCATTGAAAAATAAACAGTGCCTCAGTCAAAGAAACCAAAAGAAGACAAAGAAGCACTTGCAGGAATGGTGCTTGTCTTATTTACCTTTAGCTGGTGAGCCTTCAGATATCTGAAGATATATAATGAAACTATGATAGATAATGAAGCTACTAAATAAAGGAAACAGGTTGAATTTACAAATAGACTAACATGCTAAAGGTAAGCCACTAACAAAAGCAATGACATAATCAAAGAACCACACAACTTGGAATACCTAAAACTTATTAAGAGTATGCCAGCATCTCTGTGTACCTCTTACATAATTTTGTATTGTCCATGTAAGTAATAGCAAGCGTGGTAGACCTATAAAAATAAACCACGATCCTTCTCTATTAAGTGTATGAGGACTAGTCAAATATGATGATTCTGAATCATAGAATCATAGAATGCCSAAGGTTGGAAGGGACCTCAGAGGTCATTGAGTCCAACCCCCCTGCTCACGCAGGGTCACCTAGAGCACGTGGCACAGGGCTGCRTCCAAGCGGSTTTTAAAGATCTCCAAAGAAGGAGACTCCACAACCTCTCTGGGCWGCCTGTTCCAGTGCTTTGTCACCCTCACAGTGAAGAAATGTTTCCTTAAGTTCCTGTGGAACTTCCAATGCTTCAGTTTGAAGCCATTTCCTCTAGTCCTATCCCTGTCCACCACTGAAAAGAGGCCGCCCMCCTCCTCCTCACTGCCTCCCTTGAGGTATTTATACACRCTGATCAGGTCCCCCCTCAGCCTCCTCTTCTCCAGGCTGAACAGGCCCAGCTCTCTCAGCCTTTGCTCACAGGGCAGATGTTCCAGGCCTCTGATCATCCTGGTAGSCCTGCGCTGGACTCTCTCCAGCAGCTCCACATCCCTCTTGTACTGAAGTCAACCTACAAAGGGACAGAAGGTGCTTTTCTGCTTTTAATCTGGTGTAAATCCCCTAGCACACATACAATTGCCAGAGTGATAAAAAGTACCAGTTTTCCAGAGTGCAGATGTTTGCTGCAATACACTGAAGGGTCAAAATGGCTATAGGCCATGCAAAGCAAGTGCAAAATGTTAGTGATTTTATATAACTCTTCATTGGCTGTGGAGATTAGAGGCATCCCAATGGTCTCCTCTGGCAAGCTGGTTGGGTCTTTCAAATACTTTTGACTGACTCCTCTTGACACCTCCTGACACCTTGATTGTGATTGACACCTATCCTCCTGACACCTTGATTGGTGTTTTTGTGAGACTGAACAGTCAAAGCTTAGTTATGTGGGGGTGAAATGAACACTAATGAAATATATTTATGCCTGTGGGCTGCAATTTATATTTTTATTTTTTTTGAACATTGTTTAAACTTCTTTTACTTTCTTGATACCTTTTATTATATACAGTGTTTAATTTACTTTACTTTTTAATATTTTAATACATTATTTATTATTAGCTATGTATCACAGCTTTTTATAACAAATTTTKCAGGAATACTTTAATAAGGCATGTATTCATGTATTATCACTGCTTAAAAATATAATGTCAAAAAACCCAGATGTAGTAGAATTACTTTAATAAAGTAGTTTATGARTAAAAATTTTATTGGACAGCTGAATAATTTGTGTTTATCTTTTTGAAACTTAA